CAAACGATATACTATAGGATGTATCATTTTGGAGAACTAATTTTCGAGCTGTAATTGAAAGTATGATGAATATGCTTTATGGGAATGTCATTATTTCCTTGGTAAAAAAGCACACAACACTCTATTTTCATAGGATAAATTCTTGATGAAAAAAAAAAGGCAATTTGGAACATCCCAGCTAAAGATACAACCACAAAACATTGATGCATTAGATGATGATTTCTTTGTTGATTGAAAAAGTCTGTTGCCACAGGAGTTTGATTTGATGATCTTTGTCATGCAGAATGGTGAAGGCATATCAGATACACCATCCGATTAACAGTGTTTGCTGCTGGATTGATTGGTCAATACCGTCTGTCATACTTTCCTCACTTGGTTTTTCTTAAAGGACAAAATACAGAATATAGAAAATTTGCTGGTGTTGCTATCTGTGTTGCTGAGTCTTGTTGTGATTATCTTCGATGTACACGCGAAAGAATCGGTCAGGTAAATGTCATTTATGTAATTTTTTTGAACGTTGTGTGTTCCTTTATATGCTCCTTCTCCTGCTATGGCGATATTTTATTTTTTCTAGTAATTTTACCCTCTTTTTTTTTTTTTTCAAAACGGGGACGAGGTGATGCTGTTAGTTTTCGGGTTGTTACTGTGAGATTTGTGAATTCTGATGGATGTATCCCAGGTTTCTGAAAAAAGGTTGTTAGATTTTACCATCACCTACCAACCAATTTTACCATCACCTTACCACCACCTACATCCTCACCTACTCCTCAACCTTACTACACTCACCCTTCCTATTGTTATAATGAGCCACTCACCATGTTGTTAATATGTACAACAATCAGATATCAATACAATAATTATACTTTTAAAAATTTATGTATTATTGATTGATATTGATATCTGATTGTTATTGATTGATAATTAGTGTTATGGTATTACCAACTCCTATATATAGAAGAGAAGGTGGTTGTGGTGTAGTGTAGTGGAGGTGGCTTAGGTTGAAAGTGGGGTCGAGGGACCTGCGCCTTTCATTACTGATGTGATATATCCACGCTGTTGATACGTATAACCGCATGAGTCAACGCGTGTGGTCAGTTAAGCCTGCACAACTCGCCGGTGGGTACGGTTATGGTTAAATTTCTAACAAGCCCCCCGCAAACTCAAGGAGATTAGAGAACTAAACCAACTGAGTTTGAAAGAAGAACAAAATAATTAATACATAAAATAAAAAAAGGATAGGAGACACTGTCATGTCGTTGTCAGGACCGTTGGTGAAGACACTGGGATGGTTGTTTTTGTCATAACGTTTATGAGGACATTGTTGTGGTGTGCCATAATGTGTAGAGGACACTTGGATGGCGGTGTCAGACGCTGTACGAAGACAGTTTATGGTCATGTCGGACCGTTTGTAGCAGACAATTTTTTTTTTTTTTTTTTTTTTTTTCTTGTGACAGTTGTGTGTACAGTTTACGGAGTCTTGTTGGACCCTGGTAGGAAACTAACCGGAATCAAGGGTCGGACAGTTTTACAGAGTTCTTTGTCGGACCCATTAAAGGAGCTAACCGGAATTCAATGTCGGGACAGTTTACAGAGTCTATGCGGACCCTTGTAGAAACTAACCGGAATCTATGTCGCGGACAGTTTACAGACGTCTTGTCGGACCCTTGTGAAACTAACCGGAATCTATGTCGGACAGTTTACAGATCTGGTCGGACTCCTTGTAGGAACTAACCGGAATCTATGTCGGGACAGTACAGAGGTCTTGTCGGACCCTTGTGAAAAAATCGCATCCTCAAAAGGTGCGCTCAATTTCTTTAAAAAGGCGTGCCATCAAAAGGCGTGCCCAATTACTCAAAAATGCGCGGGACATTGATGGCGAAGGCACGTGAGTGTCTTGTGGCTGTGCCCGTTTTGTTTGCGTCAGAGTGCGCGCGATGCGCGTGGCTTGCCTCGGCTATAAGACAGAGGCGAGGCTTGAGGCAAAAACACCTGTGAGAGATATCTGAGAGGAAGATTTCTGAGAGAGATTCGTATAACACTCTGTTGCCCAGAAATGGCTTTCGTCTTCAGTCTTCTCCGGGACTGCTCACCCTCTTTCCCGACCTCAACGATGTCAAACCAAGAGAGAGAAACTGCGTGCGGGTGCACTGGACCTCAACCAAGCGCCCCGGAGTTTGCTCCGTTGAACTTTCCGATCGGTCGGTGGAGCAAAGAATGGCAGTGCAGTCGGATGTAGAGGCCATCAGTATACTCTGAAGGCATGTGTGGGAAAGCATGACGGCGGTCACAAAACTTGTCGAACCGGCTGCAGAGTAGGACAAATGAAGTGTGCCAGCATTTAAACTCCCAGCTGGCTCTGCTCCAACGAGTAATAAGGATGCGGAGCAGAGATAAGCGTTGCTAAGGGCAGAAAACAAGGAAGCTGAGCGGTTAAGCCACCGTGGATGTTCCGATGGAGGGCCGTCCATGTAGCTGCAGTGGAGGAGTATGGGGAGTGACGTGCTCGTGTGGGGCGGGTGGGAAAACACGAATGCAGCACGGCAAGGCGCTGTCCAGGACGTGAGGCAAGAAGAAGAGGACTGTGGTGGTGACTGACAGAGTAAGAGAAGAAAAGTAAAATCCCACTGTGGGTGTGGGTGTTGTGTTTGTTTTGTTTGGGGGGGTTGTTTTTTTTTTTTTTTTTTTTTTTTTTTTTTTTTTTTTTTTTTTTTTGGTGTGGTTGTAAAATGGTGATCAGGGTGAGCCCCAACATGAATAAAATGAGTGTGGTAGCAGTTCTTCTTCTTCTGCTGTTTTTTGGTGTTTTGTTTTTGTGCCATCAACATGAATAAAATGATTTTGATTTTTTTTTTAATGTAAAAAATAAATAAATAAATAAATAAGATAAAAGAAAGAAAGTGGAGTGTATTGAGTGGTGTCTGCCAGCTGGGGTAGGAGCACATGCATAAAGAATTATACAGATAGATATATATAGATAAAAGATAAAGAGGGTTTGGTCGGTTGATTAAAAAAGAATGTGTGGGTTTGATTATTAGAGAGAGAGAATGACAGTGTAGAATAAAAAAGTTGATAAAAAATTGGAGGAAGTGGGTTGAATAAAAAAAGGAATGTGACTGTGAAAGGGGAAAGAGGCGAGAGATGAAAGTGCATTGGTGAGTGGGATCACGTGAGTGGTGTAAGGTTAGTACTCCTTCCCGTTATCAATTCTGGTGGTCTGACCCCCAGCATCGATCAATGCAGAAGTGACTGCCAAGCATGCTACCATCAGACTACATTCTTGCTTCTGCTGAAATTGCTGTTGAAATGCTTCTTCCTTTGTAACCATGCTTCTTCCCGTTATCAATTCTGTAGTCCTCTTTTTTTTTTTTTCACTCACTCCCCGATCTCCAATCGTCTCCTACACAGATCAATTTTTTGCATCTGTCTCTGGATCAAAGGAGATCTATGGATCCTTCAGAACTTAGGTATTTGGAAGATGATGATACCCCAATGATGAAAACGATCAAGGGTGCAACCACTGGAGCTGTTGATGGTATCGTTGCTGGTGGATCGTCGGTGACATGAAAGAGAAACTTGCGTATGTTGCCCTTGATTATGAGCAGGAGTTGGAAACTGCCAAGAGCAGCTCTTCAGTGGAGAAAAGCTATGAATTGCCAGATGGGCAAGTGATCACTATTGGGCAAGTGATCACTATTGGAGGCTCAATCCTAGCTTCTCTCAGCACCTTCCAGCTGATGTGGATATCCAAGGGTGAATATGACGAATCTGGTCCAGCTATCGTTCACCGGAAGTGCTTTTGAGCTAGGTGAATACGTGATTGGTGATCAAGCACTTGGTAGCAAAAGAATACACCAAGATGGTGGTAGTGAATCGAACGGAGGAGAGAGTGGCTGCAATCCGTGAGGAGTGAAGGTATGTGTAAAAAATTCCAGCGGGCAGCGAAGGCAAGGTTGCCGGCCGGCTGCCCGCCGGTGAGAAAAAAAAAATACAAGCCTAAATCTTATTGCTCTGATACCATGTAAAAATTTATGTATTATTGATTGATATTGATATCTGATTGTTATTTGATTGATATTGTGTTATGTATTACAACTCCTATATATAGAATAGAAGAAAATGTGGTAGTAGGTGTAGTGGAGGTGATAGTGGGTTAGGTGAAGTGGAGTGTGTGGTGAAGTGGAGGTAGGTGAAGTGGAGTGTGTAGTGGAGTAGGTGAAAGTAAAGATGGGAAATTCTAACACTTTCCCTAGTAACAATACCTTTGAATTCAGTTGTAGAAATGTAGTATACCCATACACTGTCTTGGGGCTCTTTATTTTTGTCATAACATTCACTTGGTCTTTCATTCTTCTTGTTTCCTTTTACCTCTGCAATAGCTGAGAAAGATTATCAATATTTTAAGCTGTTGGACTAACTCAAAGGGTTCTATTGAGGAAAGCAATATCATGGGGGATAGTCATGTACAAGAAGGGATGGTAGATGGATTGTTGGAATGCTGTCGCAAATATACTCAGTAAGCTGCTTCTTCTTATCTTTTTTTTTGGGTACTACTACTGTCACTCATAATTTGGGATGCATGTTGTTTACCAATTTTTTAAATACCATGTTTAGCTGCCTAATTATCAGTGTGTTGACGCTATAATTTTCTTTTTTCTTGTGTAATTGCTTGTTCAATATTCACGTCCTTTGACCCTAAGCTTCATATGCTAAAGGATTTTGTAATTGTTTTTAGTATCACCTTGCAGAAAGGATTGAGATTTTTTGACCACACTATCTAAATTATGGATTATGGATGTCGTAATTTAATTTGGTAACACTGGCTGAAGTCACAAAGTGACAGTCCTTTTCTTTTTACTGATGGGCACAAGGTGGCAGTCCTATTTAGTGAAGTGTTTTAAATCTTATATATCCACTGAGCATGACTGATCAACTGAAATGAAAAAAACATTGACTGCAGCAGTGAATTATGTTGTATGTCAATTTAGCACTTCAACTGCAGCAGAAACAAAAGATAGTATTTACCTTAAGCGTTGGTTCCATCATTATTAATTACCGTTTAGATATTTGATATAATGCTTAGAAGTCATTGATTCTTGATTAAAATTTGAGAGAGAGTACTGTTTCGGCTCATCTTGTAGTAGGATAAAATAAACCATATACATGTGCCAAATGCTGTCTGTCTCTAGATACGTAAGACTGAAGGTTTTCTGCATGATTAAGGGCTAAACTAACATGTATACTAAACTGAATTAATCACATTTATAAGGTATTGATGTGGCCCTCCCTTGGTTTGTGGCATATGTTTGAATGGTGAACCGTTGAGCTAAAGAAATTTTACATGGCATTTCTTCAGATTTCTTAGAAGTTAAAATGGACTTTTATTGTGTACTTGTGTTTTTTATTTAAAAATGTTCATTTCAAGTTCATGCAAATTTGAAAAGAACTAGTTTAGGCATCAAAGACCGAGGTACTATATTATCTCTAGTTGTATGAGACAAAGCTTTTAGAGATGAAAGTTGAGAAGAAATCCGCAATAATTTTATATTTGAAGATATTTTCTTTTCTGAATGAAACCCATTATATTTTAGAAGCATCTCTTTTTCTTTTGTTAAGTTATATTGGCAGAAGCATTGCTGGCAATGACCATATGCATCAACCACATTAAGAGCATTGTATCAAGACAGTGTCAGAGGTGGATTACCATGTTTACATTTTATTTATTTATCTATTTTTGATAGTCACATTATTCATAGTGACTTCTATGTATTTAGAGTTGCTTGGGAACAAGACTAAATTATATCTGATCCAATTTACTTTGATTAAGAAATGGCAACATTACCCAAGCATCATGGTTTGACTTTTCATGCAGTGGGTATAGCCTGTATGTCACTTGGGCTTTACCAAGTCTAATCTAGCCATAACCATCTAAGTCTTGTTATCCTGCACTGTCATTTTTCAAGATTAGTTTTACTGACAAGAACGACTTCTATAGAGAAACCCTACACATTGAATGCCTATGAAAGTCCTTCCAAGCCCGTGAACATTTTTCGTTTGACAAGATAAAAATTGTGCTACAAGGCAGAGATGTCTAATGTATGGAGATGTCACTCGTGTGTGCTTGTGAGTGTGCCAGCAAGTCGAATAGAGGGCACAATGCCTACACCTTTGTGCCAAACTGACTAATGGCTACTCAATGGTCATGAGCATCATTCTGAAAGTCACTTTGTGCCTTGTGAAACCATAGGACAATACTAACCCTTGCATGTCAGTCTAGATTGTGCTTCATCGGGTTATATTCAAGTTATCTTTGATGTCTATTGTAGTTTAGTCACTGTAAAAGGGTTCAAATGGGAAGTGGTTCCTAACTGTTTCATTTTTGTTTGTTGGTTTGCTATTGCACCTATGTTCATATGACATATGCATCAAAACTATTGTGGAAGGCATTTTAATGATTGTTCTTGAAATTCTGATGTTCAACTTTTGCAGACCTAATGCAGGATCATGAATCATTGATTGATCTCATCCTCTAAATGTCTCCCCGCCACCTCACTATCATCATTATATACTGCTTTCTGAATGTGTTGCCTTGAACTTTATTTGAGCTTTCGAGTACTTTGCTCTCTGGAACATAAAGCTGAAATCATTTGAGTGAATTGGCTGGTTCCTTGAGAAAGGTGTACTTATTTTCCAGGACTACATTGTAAGAAGCCGTTCTCATGTTTTCTTCCAGTTTCAAAATCTTGAATCATAGAAGTGTGACATGTGATTCGCATGAAGCAGGCCCAATTAAAGGATCATTAAGTGTATCTTTACATGTAATGGCTGCAAGTATTCAAAGGGGGCAGGTATGATGTTAGGGTTTCTGCATCGATCTGACCATACTTAGGTGGAAGTAGCATCAAAAATCATCCAGAGGTTTCAGCAATAATGTAATCAGCTAGGAGGTAGAAATGTTGAAATCAGCTTGCATGCTTCGATTCTGATAGGTCAGTTGTGTCATCGTTTACATATTGATGGTGGCCTCACTCATGTTGTGGAATGCTGCAGTAATGTAATTGAGGCGAATATTAGATGATATGATAGTTTCACTATAATATATGAGGTCATTTTGTAGCTCATAATTTCCATTGTTTTTGCTTCAATTTCCAGTTGTGAATTTGATAATTTTGGGACCTGTCTCTCGCACCCTCCTTTCTTGTTTTGCCATCCGTGTAGGCTGCTGTACTTACATGAAGGTGGAATGCTGCAGTAATGTAATTGAGGCGAATATTAGATGATATGATAGTTTCACTATAATATATGAGGTCATTTTGTAGCTCATAATTTCCATTGTTTTTGCTTCAATTTCCAGTTGTGAATTTGATAATTTTGGGACCTGTCTCTCGCGCCCTCCTTTCTTGTTTTGCCATCTGTGTAGGCTGCTGTACTTAGATGGTGGAAAGTAACTTCTTTTTTTTTTTTGTTAAATGAAAAGAAAACAAAAGGAATTGAAGGCCTGAGGGAAAGTTTTTTTGTGTAACTAGTACACTACCATGGTGATTCTATTGAGGGATTGAGTGAGAATTTAATGGAGTTTTTCAAGGGTCCTGAATGTGAGATACAAAACTGTTAACTATTTCTTTATACCCATAATAGCACGAGAAAATATCAACTCATCAATTGGCACAGGGTCTTAAAATGGAGAAATTGAGGCTGTTCAGGTTCCACATTACAATTGCACAAAAAATTTAACCTTTTAATCCTTGAAGTGGATAATAGGGTGAGACAGTTGGAGTTTTCCACCATAAAAATAAAAAATAAATAAAATGGACCATTTTATCTTTCTTTTTCATTTGGGTTTTGGTGAATTGGAAATTCGTTAGAGGAATTAATTGCACAATTAAAAAGTACAAAGTACAAACAGATTTGGGGCCCTTCCACCCTCTTTGTCTCCTATCACTAGGGCTCCTAATTTGAATTTGGGAAAAATTCAAATTCCAACTATAATCTGATATACAGCAGCTGGGTAGACAGAGTGATCTATTCTTTTGCCTTCTACTAAAATCGGATTCAGTGTTCATTTGAACCAAATAAACCATGTGAACATAAGAATATGGGAATTCCCTGTACATTCCAGATAGAATCGAGAGTATCATAATCAAAACTTTGTTGCATTTAATTAGAAGAAAAAAGACAAGATGAGCTCTCTCTCTTGCTTTCTATCATCATTCTTCGAAAAGGGGTTGGTAGAAAAGTTTGTATACCTCCATAACTTCTAAGTACCACATTGCTTCTCGATCAGGAAATGGTGAAAGGTCAACCATTTTGTGAACCTGAGGACGTTCAAGTGCACAACATTAACCTCAGTAAACTGTAAGAGAACAACAATAGCACAAAAAATGCTATAAGCAATGTCCATAACCAGTGGTTACTCCTACTAGAACCTTACATTATCTAGAACAATGCCGATTAATCATAGAGAACTCTAATAAATGCCTACATTTATTGTTCTTTCTATATCCTTTAGATGTATTCTTCAGCTGTAATTGTATTTCACCACCACATTCTGTTAAACATATAGTTGTTTTTCATTATGAGCTTACTCTTGAAAGTCACTAGCTCCATTTCCACCACCAATGTGTAGATTTGTTACTGCACTCACCAAAAAACATTGCTTAAACCTTCATTCTTGAAGCATTGTGTTAGGAAGTTCCTTCTACCATTATGTGCTCTACATAATTCTTGTTACCCACATTCTCAAGTCACAAATCCGATATCATTATGTGCTCTACTATTTATGTAATAGAAAGAAAAACATAACTAGTGTAGGAAATAGATGTAATTATATGCTTTTGGATGCACCTGCTTGAGCATTTCAATCTCATGGCAGTGCATTATGGCAAATAATCCTAATGTTGATCCTACCTTCCAAGTCTTGTTTTAATCCAACAAATTTAAATAGACAATAAAGTGTTTGTCTGGGCATTTCCTCATGAAATTGATAAAGGATTCCACATTTCCCACAAAATCAAATAAAGGGAATTAGCTCCTTAAGAGTGAATATAGCAAGATTATTATAAAAGAAATCTCAAGAAGAATTGAGAAATGCTTGTCTAACATCTGCAGCATTGAATACCTCAAGGATGCCAAAAAAAGTAGGGATTGGAAGTGTCAAAATTAAACATCTGCTCTGTATTGACATTTTTAATAAATCTCAAGACTATCTAAAGTAAAGAGACTACTACAAAATGTAATACCACTATAATGATACAACTTCGACTCTGATGGTTATTTAATCAATTCATCTCATACCCCATAGGATGCAGAGCTCAATTCATGCACATGTTAATAGTAACAATAATTTTAAACCACCAAGGTGGCCGCCCTAGTGGTAAGAGAGTTTGCTCCTCTCCTTGCTGCTAGGGTTTGAATCCCCTTACTTTCAAGTGGAAGCCAAGGTTTAAGGTGGACCTGCTAGCTTTTTCCAATTTGCTCAGCCCACATCAGTCATAATGGAAAAAAACAAAAACTCTCATGGTTATTTAATCAAACATCTCATACCCCATGGGAAACCGAGCTCAAATTCATGCATATGCTAATAATACTGACAACAATTTCATAACCTTCATTTGAAAAACATACAAAGGGTAGTTCCAAAACATAATGTTCATTCAACCATTCCCAAAATAAGTTTACATCAATGCAAGTTCTAGTGAACATTTTCCTTCAATCTCCCAACTTTTATCTAAATACCTACCCAATTCACCTGGGTCTCTCACACCATTTGATAAGCTATAGATAGAATAAACTTAGGCCATGTTTGTTTGGGTAGACATGAGCTTGGGATTGGACTAATAGTCCAATAAAATTATTAATCCGATGTTTGGTTAAGCAATTGAAGTACGGATTAATTATTTTAAACTTGACTATTAGTTAAGATAGGATACATAATCCAACGGATTGGTAGTCCTAGGACTATTAGTCATGGGAATACTAATCCAGTCCACCCAAGGCTATGTTTGTTTGGGCGGACTGGATTAGATTGGATTAGCATTCCTATGACTAATAGTCCTAGGACTACGAATCCATTGGATTGTGTTTACTATCCTATGTTTGGATTAAGTTAGGATTATAAGGAGTGACTAATAGTTCAAATTTTGGCTTAATCCTCCAATTTTTATCCTACTTTCTCTGTGGGAATGAATAGTCCATCACATGTAGGATATCATATCCGAATGGATTGTTAATCCATACTTCAATTGTTTAATCAAATATCGAATTAATAATTTTGGCCATGTTTGTTTGGGCGGACTGGATTAGGTTGGATTAACATTCCCATGATTAATAGTCCTACGACTACGAATCCTTTAGATTGTGTATCATATCTTTTGTTTAGATTGAGTTAGGATTATAAGGAAGAATAATAGTCTAGACTTTGACTTAGTTCTCTAATTTATATTCTACCCCCTCTGTGACTGAATAGTCTATCATATAAGGAATACCATATCTGGCTGGATTGTTAGTTCATATTTTAATTGTTTAACCAAACATCGAATTAATAATTTTATTGGACTATTAGTCCAATCGAAGCTCATGTCCACCCAAACAAATATAGCCTTATTGGACTATTAATCCAATCTCAAGCTCATGTCCACCCAAACAAACATGCCTTATATAGTCATTGAATTGAACTTAAATCAAATTATTGATAATTGAACTCTGTTTAAATCCACCATACATACACATCCATCACAATTGCACATAAAAAGAGGAAGAGAAAAAGGAGGAAGGTGAAACTGGTTTTTTTTTTTTTTGGGTTTTGTTTACCTTAATAATGGGGATTTCAGCAGTGCGGACAAAAAACCCTCCAACAACCATTACATACATACCTGTATATGCACATATAAGAAAGCATGAGAGAGAGAGAGAGAGAGAGAGAGAGGGCGAGAGAGAGTAGAAGGCGGCGATTGGGTGGAGGAGAAGACAGACCTAAGTTCCAGGGGAGGTTAAGGAAGTCTCCGGAGAGGGAGAGTTCGATGACGCCGGTGCCGTCATCCAGGAGGAAACTTCCGCCTCCGTCGCCGTCGCCGGAGGCTATTGAGACCAAAACGCCCTGCATTCGGAGTTGGGTTATAAAGCAAGAAAGAGAGAGAGAGAGAGAGAGAGAGAGAGAGAGAGAGAGAGACCTGTAACCAGGCGCGTTGGAAGAGAATGCCGCCGAGGCTCATGGCGGATTGCGACGGAAAAAAAAAAAGAAAAGAAAAAGTGGTAGTTGACAGAGTGGGAGTAATATATGAGAAGAAACATATACATATATAGATAGATTAAAATAAAGGAAATCGGAGTGGGCTTGGGCGGTGGGAAGGGACCAGAGAGAGAGAGTAAAGGGCATTGGTTAGTGGGATTGACTAGTGGTTGGAAGATGGAACTGTGTTAACAGTAGCTTTCACTGAGGGTTCTCTGTCATCAATGTTTCCTATCAAGTGTTCATGTTTATCAAGTGTGCATGTTTATCAGCAATGTCTTGAGATTCTTGTTGCCTGAGAACTTTTCTCAGATATCGAGCCGAGGGTGAGGTTGAAGTCGCCGGGGACTGAGAAGACGTCGGTGACGCCGATCTGGACGAGCCGGCGAGCGAGATGGCGGCCCATGGTGGAGTCGGCTGAACCGATGAGGGTGACTAAAGCTTGTGAAGCATTTGTTGAGTAGCTGATGCTTGTGGCTATGCTCTCGCAGTGATGCCATCGGCGAAAGGGCGTGTGCCCGAACACCATCCTCGTTTCATTGGGACTTATTCGGGCGCGGTGAGCACTGCCTGTTGCGCTGAAATCGTGGAATCCGCGGATGCTTATTTGTTTGCAGGACCCATTTTCAATGACTACAGCTCTGTTGGGTACTCTGTGCTTCTGAAGAAAGAGAAGGTGATCATCATGCATCCTGATCGCGTGGTGATTGCGAATGGCCCTACATTTGGGTGTGTTCTGATGAAGGATTGGCCGGAGTTGCAGTCGGAAATGTGGCCGAAGGTGAGAGAGGCTTGTGATCAAGCAAGGTATGTGTAAAAAAAAAATTCCAGCGGGCAGCGAAGGCAAGGTTGCCGGCCGGCTGCCCGCCGGTGAGAAAAAAATACAAGCCTAAATCTTATTGCTCTGATACCATGTTAAAAATGATATATTATTAATTGATGTATTACAAGATTGATTAATTACAATTCCTATACAATCTATATATAGAAGAAAATGTGGTAGTAGGTGTAGTGGAGGTGATAGTGGGTTAGGTGAAGTGGAGTGTGTAGTGGAGTAGGTGAAGGTAAAGATGGGAAATTCTAACAGTAACAATAATTTTAAACCACCAAGGTGGTCGCCCTAGTGGTAAGGGAGTTTGCTCCTCTCCTTGCTGCCAGGGTTCGAGTCCCCTTACTTTCAAGTGGAAGCCAAGGTTTAAGGTGGACCTGCTAGCTTTTCCCAATTTGCTCAGCCCACATCAGTCATAATGGAAAAAAACAAAAACTCTCATGGTTATTTAATCAAACATCTCATACCCCATGGGAAACCGAGCTCAAATTCATGCATATGCTAATAATACTGACAACAATTTCATAACCTTCATTTGAAAAACATACAAAGGGTAGTTCCAAAACATAATGTTCATTCAACCATTCCCAAAATAAGTTTACATCAATGCAAGTTCTAGTGAACATTTTCCTTCAATCTCCCAACTTTTATCTAAATACCTACCCAATTCACCTGGGTCTCTCACAACATTTGATAAGCTATAGATATAATAAACTTAGGCCATGTTTGTTTGGGCGGACTGGATTAGATTGGATTAGCATTTCCGTGACTAATAGTTCTAGGACTACGAATCCTTTGGATTGTATATACTATCCTATGTTTGGATTAAGTTAGGATTATAAGGAGAGACTAATAGTTCAGATTTTGGCTTAATCCTCCAATTTTTATCCCACCTTCTCTGTGGGAATGAATAGTCCATCACATATAGGATATCATATCCGAATGGATTGTTAGTCTATACTTCAATTGTTTAATCCAATATCGAAATGCCATGTTTGTTTGGACGGATTGGATTAGGTTGGATTAGCATGCCCATGATTAATAGTCCTACGACTACGAATCCTTTGGATTGTGTATCCTATCTTTTGTTTGGATTGAGTTAGGATTATAAGGAAGACTAATAGCCTAAACTTTGACTTAGTTCTCTAATTTATATTCCACCCTTTCTGTGTGATTGAATAGTCCATCATATGAGGAATACCATATCTGGCTGGATTGTTAGTTCATATTTTAATTATTTAAACAAACATCGGATTAATAATTTTATTGGACTATTAGTCCAATCTAAGCTCATGTCAATCCAAACAAACATAGCCTTATTGTACTATTAATCCAATCTCAAGCTCACGTCCACCCAAACAATCATGGCCTTACATAGTCATTGAATTGAACTTAAATCAAATTGTTGATAATTGAACTCTGTTTAAATCCACCATACATACACATCCATCACAATTGCACATAAAAAGAGGAAGAGAAAAAGGAGGAAGGTGAAACTGGTTTTTTTTTTTTTGGATTTTGTTTACCTTAATAACGGGGATTTCAGCAGTGCGGACAAAAAACCCTCCAACAACCATTACATACATACCTGTATATGCACATATAAGGAAGCATGAGAGAGAGAGAGAGAGAGTAGAAGGCGGCGATTGGGTGGAGGAGAAGACAGACCTAAGTTCCAGGGGAGGTTAAGGAAGTCTCCGGAGAGGGAGAGTTCGATGACGCCGGTGCCGTCGTCCAGGAGGAAACTTCCGCCTCCGTCGCCGTCGCCGGAGGCTATTGAGACCAAAACGCCCTGCATTCGGAGTTGGGTTATAGAGCAAGAGAGAGAGAGAGAGAGAGAGAGAGAGAGAGACCTGTAACCAGGCGCGTTGGAAGAGAATGCCGCCGAGGCTCATGGCGGATTGCGACGGAGTTTGGCGGGCGCTATTTAGCTGTACGCATAACAGCTTCAGTGCCGCTAGACTGTAATCCATATCTCTCTCTCTCTCTCTTGCTGAGTGCTATTTTCCAGGGAAAATGTTCGATCTTATCATGGCGGAAAGTTGATTATTTTAATATTTCATTTTAATTTTTAATTATTGTAGGGTTCATTTGTGATGTGAGTTGATTTTTTTGATTATTTTAATTTAGAATTAAAAAGTCTTATTTAAGATAGATTAAAAGAAATAATTATGATTTGGATGTGATATTTTATTTTATTGACTTTTTAATCTATTTTTTTATAACTATTTTAGCAAAAAAAACTAAAAAAAGCCAATATGTCACACGAAGGCTTAAAACAATTATGTTTGGAAACAGGGTTAACTTTTTTTTTTAATTTTATGTGATGTTTGTGAGAGGAAAAATAAAATGATTATAAATTTGATGTGACATTTTATTTTATTAATTGTTTTAACTTATTTTATTTTTTAGTGTTATTTTGATTAGAAATGCAACGGGTCGGGCGGGGTCAGAGATTACACTCCCCGTCCCCAATTCCCGAAGGTAGAAAATTTTCCATCCCCGTCCTTGATTCCCGACAAGGAACTCATCACCCCTCGTCCTTCTCTCCCTAATAGGAATTGGGTTTCTCTGACCCTGAAAAATCCTCGTACAAAAACAACAACATCATCAATAGCATCATTTGTGTATTTGAGTAAAGAGAGATCTGAGAAGAGAAAGAGAGAGAGATCTGAGAGAGAGATCTGTCGTGGCGGAGGGAATTGACGCCAGAGTATGGAGGTTCGGTGACTCTGGCATCGCGGTAGTAGCGGTGGCGCAGAGGAGGAGGCGATGGTTGCTGCGAAGAGAAGATAGAGTGATTCGGTGGTTCGATACTCTCTCTCTCTGCTCTTTGCTCTCTACTCGCCTTTGCTCTCTCTCTCTCTCTTTTTGCTCTCTGCTCCTCTGATCTTCTCATTGCCTTTCTCTGTCTCTGCTCTCTATCTCTCTCGCTGATTCGATTCTCTCTCTCTCTCTCTGTCCTTTGCTTGCTGATTTGGTGGATAGAAGGGTATATATATATATGAATAGATATAGAGGTATATATGTAATTTCAGTTCGAGAGGAGACAGGGCCGAGCCTAGAAAATGTATCACGGCCCCCGGCCAAAAAATTATCGGGGATTCATTTTCAAATATCATCATTGGCTTGTCAAGTGTATTTTTTGAGAAAAAACCGTTCTAATCGGGATCGGGGTCGAGTCTCCATTGGACTGAATTCAAATTACCATCCCTAATTTTGACCTTAAAAAACCAAAAATCCTTCTTCCCAAAATCCATTTGGCTTACTCCCTCCTCACCAGATTTCCTTTCTGCTCCTTCTGCGTTGATATTTATACTCTCTCCACTCTCCATATATAAATATTTTGAGATTCTAATTACTTTTCTTCATTGAAGAGTTATTTATAAAAGAAAATGATAGACAAAAATATTAATTTTTATTTCATTCTATTTTTCCCAATATTGCAGGACAACCTAAGTTTCTTGAGATTTACTCATGTTTAATTTTTTTCAAGATCGTTTGAGATTAGATCATTATGTAAATAAGTTAAATTTTTAAGTTAAAATTAAATAATCGATTACTCGGTTTGGCTCAGTCCAACTCGGGTGATTTACAACCTTACTTTTCTCATTTCTTTTTTTTTCTCTCTATAAATTGAGTCTTCAATCTTTAATCCGAAAAAACCCTTACATTTTAAGTCAAGGAAATGAGGGGATCACAGCGTTTGGATCATAAAAATACAAAGAGGACTCTGAATAAATTATTATTTTTTTTCTTTTTCTCACAAATCCAAATTCCTAAGTCAGCTTTTACAAATGAGATTGTAAATATTAATGGAACGGTCATGGATCTCAATATCTCATTGAACCAATTAAGCAAAGAGCTGGCAGTTGGCCAAGACACCAATGTCTCAAAGTGCATCCATCCAATATAAAGAGTTTACAAATGAAGTTTAATTAAAGTAGTAATCTCATCATCATTGAAATCCAAGGTACACCTTTCACATACATATATATCAAGCATGTTGCACCTTCATTATTCAATTGAAGTCACACACATACCAAAAAAAAAAAAAAAAACCCAACCAAATTGACTGTGTATCAAGAACATTACTAAAAGCGAATTCATCAATTTAGGAAAATGCTGCAAATGCAAGTGTGAATATTTTGATTCGAGTGTTTGAGTTTAATTAGGAGATGAGAGCGATGCCACTGATGAGCAGATTGTTGGATAGGAGGTTGTTGGCAGCTTCAGTGGGATGGAAGCCATCCCAGAACACATACTCAGTAGCATTAGCGCAAGTTCCAGGGGACTTTGCATCGCATAATATTGATGTCTCTATTAACCCTGTTCCACAACATGCCTTCCTTGCCTCTGCAAATCCTGTTCATTTCACAATAATTTGATTTCTCAGTCATGGATTCACCTCAAGCACTAATGACCAGTTATCAGAGTGAGAATTGTTTTTTCTTGTTTTCAAAAAATACATTACCATAATTAGAAGTGTTTGTGACAAGGTCATATAGAGGCTGGTAGACATCCAAGACAACAAGGGTGAGGTTGGAGAGCTTGTTTTGCAAACTCTGAGAGGTAACATTGAGCTTCTTGTTGAATGAGATTGCAGCCTTGTTTAATTTGGCCACACATTCATTGCTATCAGATCCAAATATTGTAATGGTTGCTGGCAAGCATCCAAGTGGTGGCAGAGTAGTCACTCCAATCCTCCTTGCTCCCAATCCATATAGCTCCTGTACCCAAAACATGTGTTCACATTTGCAAATCCAATATCCCAAAACTTTTTTTTATTTATTATTCTAACTTTTTTAACTGGCATAAGATTCTCTGTTTTTAAATTTTTTGTTCCTCTCGTCTCAATACACCCCTAATTAATGGATCATGTCTCGAGACTCACATGTCTCGAAATTGTTTTACATGATCGAATAGCTGGTGGTGCATTGAGAAAAGGGGACAGTGAATTGTTAACTAGCTACTTAGGCATAAGATGTAAAATTATTTAATACTAGGACTTAGGTAATTGTAATAAGTAAAAATAATACCTGAACAAAAGTGGAATAGGAGTGAATGAGGATGTCAGAGAACTGATCTGGTGTGTAGACCTTGTAGAGAAGAGGATTGATGTAATAGTTTTGAACAAAGTCACTACTACCAGCACTGATGAAGTAGACCGAACCATTGATAATGGAAGAAGCATTGGCTTGCCCAGCAATTCCAACTATTCTCTTCTGGTACTCCTTGTAGTATTCCAGCTGTTTACTCAATGGTATTGTGTGCTGCCACCCACCAATTTCCCATATCATCATATCATTTATTTATTTATTTTTCTCATGTGTCCCAACTAATTTTCAATTACATTTTTTTATCATGAAAAAATAATATTTTATTATTAGAGAAGGGGCATTTTTAGAATTTTACATGAAGTTTTGACAAAATCAAATTGAACAAATACACATATAGAGAAGGGGCATTTTTAGAATTTTACATGAAGTTTTGACAAAATCAAATTGAACAAATACACATATAATCCCCAAAGTATACAATAATACTATGTACACATAATGGCGACAAAAAAGGGTTTTTCTTTTTTTTTTTTTGGATTGTACACATTTCTATAATTTTTGTGTGCACATATCATTCCTAGAATTTTGTTTTGTAAGAAATATGTTTTGAAAAATGCTTGGGAGCACTAATTAGGTGGCAGTGGGTCCCGCCATTAATGATGTGATGTTTTGGTCTTGGAGTTGTATTTTTTTTTTTTACTTTTTTAATGCATTAGTGCTATTAGTGGTGATGTTTTTAGTGGGATGAATCATTGTTGATATGTTTTTGTCTAGCATTTTTGGTACATGTATATATCCATTCTATTATATAAAATAAAGAACTCAAAAAATCGCAACAATATTTTCTCCACTTAAATTACCTTTGCATAGCAGTCAAAGTAAAACAACTGTTGTCTACTACTACTCAACTACTTTCACTCTTCATTCTTACCAATTCGTGATTTTCATTTTGACAGTTTTAATTACACGCCTAATGTGCTCAATCTTCTAGTAAATATATATATATGCAGAGTGTTGGCATGACACTTACATATAATTTTGCAGTAGGTTCATAAAAGCCAGAAGAAGCAGAGGCAAAGTTGGCTCCAATCAAGAGGTTCTTCCCTCTTGCTTTCTTGCTAAGATAAGCTGGTGGGTATGAAGTGAAACCTATGTTCTCAGCTGATCATCATAGATTATGACCCAACAGGAAGAAGAAGGGAAAAAAAAAAAAAAAACATTAGGATGAAAACCTCATAAAGGGAAAGAAAGAGAGAGAGAGAGATAGGGGGAGAGAGAAACCAGTGAAATCAACAGCAAGCCTGCCATTGCAGAACCTTCCGGTAGCTCTGTGACGACGGAGGAAGTCTCTGCCATAAGGAGGGAAGTTAGCTTTGACAATGGTGGAAACGTGGTTGTTATTCCCTGCATCATTCACTGAGTCCCCAAATATGAACAATGCTGGTACTAGAGGCTGCCCATTCACCCCCACACAGAAGACCATCCCTACTAGAACAATAAAGAAGCCCAAGACATTTTTTGAAATGCCCATGATTTTTTTCTGTTGATCAACTGTGAACTAAATTTGCTTGTTCAGTGAGAGAGAGAGAGAGAGAAAGAGGGGATATTGGGATTGTTAGTGAGAAAGGGAGAATTTAAAGGAACCTGGAACTGGCACCTAAAGTGCCACATAGGCTAGAATGGCAACATTTGAAGAAATCTGATCATTTACAACTCACAAGCTTGTCAAAGTAGCTAAAATATTGAAATCCCTTTTTAAGAAAATCTTTGTTTAACGTGATGAAGTGTTAAAAATGTCAAATTAATAAGATAAATTTAGATTACTATGTACTAAATTAATTACTGAATCTGTCAACTGTACCTACACCAAACATACCACACAAGCAGAAATTAATGATTTATTATAATTTGCTTCAAGGGATTTTACCCTCCTTGTGCCATATGATACGTATTGGAGAAGTACCTTTTGTTTCTTGTGCACTTAGAAGCATTCATTGCTCCATAATAGCTGACAAGTCAATCCAATTCAATTAAATTGTGTTAGGCTGCCCTGGTTTTTTTTTTTTTTTGGGAATGGATTGTTAGGCTGCCTTTGGGAGGGATTTTTTTTTTTGGTCATCTTTAATAAAAATTAAAAGTTAAATTTTTTATGTATATAAAAGTATAAACATCATTTTAAACTCTTATCCTCACCTGCTTCTTCCCACCATTTCATCTCCCCTGCACACCCAATCCCACCCCCTTAACCGCAACCTCACTCTCGTAGCTTTCCCACCTTCACTATTTCTCTTTGTATAGTTGAAGGAGATGAAGGGGTGGCATCAAAGGGGCGGGGAGGGTGGCCAAAGTTGGAGGTGGTAGTAGTGGTGGCTAGTAGCTAAGGTGGAGGTAGGGTTAGAATTTGAGACGATTGGAGATTAATTTTAGTATTAAGTGAGGTGTTCAAATATTTTTATACAAAAGTTGAGAAAAGTTTGCGAATATCCAAAAAAGTAGAGGGTCCAAAAAGATTACACGAATGTTACAAGCAATACTTTATTTATTTATTTGGTGAGGCCCTTCTCAATAAGGGATAGCAAAAGCCCGAATTTGCCCTTGGAATTTTACACGCCAATAAACTATTCAATATGACCAACAATGTCCTTATATATAAGCACATCCATCTAAATTCAAGAGACGTGTCTTGTTCAAGTATGTTTTCGAGCTGTCCTAACTAGCTTCTAGGACACTTTCCATATCACTCTTATACTACCAGAAAGGGTCTCAGATGAAATACAGTGTATAACTCTCAGTTGCTCAATGCTGACCTTTCTATGTTGTTGTCTAGCTAGTGTGCCCTATTTTAATGTATTTGCTACTATTAATAACTTACATGCAACCGACCCTAAAGAAATCCTTGTAGGATAACTTTTCACTCTTAAACTTTCATCATGTCTCTTTTAGTTTCTCATATTTTAATTATATCAATTGCGTATTTAAATTTTAGCTCGTATTTCAATATAGTCTTTATGTTATTTACTATTAAAAACTTGAATAATACTATATGCACTAATTAATATATTAATTAGTGTACCAATTGATGATGTGATATAATTTACAAGATTTTTGGTATTTGTAATTTGTATAATGAGTGGGGTCAACAATAATATTATAACTAGTGTTGTTACATCAATTAGTATACTAATTGATACAAGTGACACCATTATTAAAAATTAGATTAGAAAGTGCTCACGTAAGGTGGTTTGGGTTGGGTTTGATGTGATGTGTTAGAGAGGTGATGTGATTTAAATAAGATGATGTGACTTAAATAAGATAGTGACTTTTTAACTTTTTGGCTTATTTAGTACATGCCAAACTAGCCCTTAGTTTCTCATATTTTAATTATAACAATTGCGTATTTAAATTTTAACTCGTATTTCAATATAGTCTTTCTGTTATTTATTATTAAAAATTGAATAATATTATATATAACAATTAATATACTAATTAGTGTACCAATTGATGATGTGATATAATTTAAGAGATTTTTGATATTTGTAATTTGTATAATGAGTGGGGTCAATAATAATGTTATAACTAGTGTTGTTACATCAATTAGTATATTAATTGATACAAGTAGCACCATTATTAAAAATTAGATAGAAAGTGCACGCGTAAGGCTGGTGAGCACATTTTAAGAACATTAAAGGAGGGAAAAAAAAGGAGGGAAAAAAAAAAAAAAAAACTTAGCCTCCGTTTGGAAATTGGGTTGGCTTTTTAGATTTTTTAGCTATTTTAGCCTGGGCTAAAAAGTTTGGTTTGAGAGGATTTTTTGGCTTTTTGACTTTTTTGACTTTTTTTGTGAAAGAAGAATGTGAGAAGGACTTTTTGGCTTTTTGACTTTTTTAACTTTTTTTGTGAAAGAAAAATATAATGATTATGGGTTGAATGTGATATTTTATTTTTTGTGACTAAAATAGCCTATTTTGTCTTTTGTGACTAAAATAGCCAAAAAAGTCCCGTTTAGCTCTTGCCAAACGGAGAAATTGCACTTTTCACTTCACTGCATGTGTGTTTTGGATTGATTTTTTTAGTCTTTTTTGATTTTTAATTTTCAAAAAATTTTATGCTTTTGGCTACTACTCAATTAGATCCGTTTGAAAAATAAAAAATAAAAAAGTTTAGAAATATTAAATTTTTTTTTTTGGTTTTTAGTGAATTTTTTTCTTTTTCTTTTTCTTTTTTTAGATTTATCTACACAAGACAAACTTGAAAAGTACAAGATTTGACATAATTTTGAAGAAAAAAAAAAATACTAAAGACAAAAAAAATTCGAAAAAAAGGTGACTTTTAACAACATGCCAACTCACCCTCAAATTCTACTTTGGCCCTCATGTTTTAAGTTTTACTCAAATTTAAATAATCACATTGAAACATGGGTTTAAATTGAAAATTAGTTGTTAATTATTGATTAACTCACGTAGAAAGTTCAACTCTCAACCTCTTCCTAGCCATACTTCAAGTGTTGTCTCCATGTCACTAGGCCACAAGGTTATGTGCCTACAAATTTAATTGTTACAATTAAAATATAAGAGATTAAAGTAAAATTTGAGTGAAAGTTCAAGAGTGAAAAATAGAACGTACCCAAACCTTTATATAAAACATTATTGTTAGCACATATAAAAAATCACAAAAATATATATAGTAAAATCAATGCGTGACCCATTCATTCTAGGTATGTTGAAAAACACACTTGAAATTAATCTCAATTTGAAACATATATTAATTTTTTTGTGTGCTTTATTTATTTATTATTTATAAGGCATAGCATTATTGTTATGTCAATATAAATATGATCATAGACTTAAGACACCCTGTTTTGGCAATTGAATACCTTTATTACATTTAATAGGGCAAAGTTAGACAAAGCTGGTGCCTTTATTGCATACAAAAATAATATTGGTTTCAACTAATATGTTATTTATTTATTTTATTTTATTTAGAGTACCAAACAACATTAATATTAGTATGGTGAGTGCCCAAATTGCTCTCTGATTACTTCTCTTATAGAAAATAAATGACTTACTATTTTTCTTGGTCTTTTAGCTGTAATTTGGTGGGTGGTGTTAAAAAATCTTTATTAGCTTCTTCTTTACAGATTGATCTTGTCAATCTTCTAGAAATTCAGTCTATGTAATACCTAAGCAAGGGTATGGCTCTCTCTCTCTCTCTCTCTTTCTCTCTCTCTCTCTCTCTCTCTATATATATATTTAGTTATTTGTATATTTAATCTGTTTGTTGGTTGGATGATGAAGATTGTTAAATTAGCCACAATATTGGGGCCATTAAACTGTGAAATTTGAGGAGAAATTTGGGGAGAATGAGAAAAAAAAAAAAAAAAAAAAAAAGGTAGGAAAATTTGAAAAAAAAACCAGCTTCCATATTTCCTTTTTTTTCCTGTAAATTATTATTTCCAAATCATTGTTCTTTTCTAGTTTTTTGATAATCTGCTTCCAAAAACCTTGTTATCTGGAAATTTTTTTGGTTGCTCAATTGCAGAACAAATTTAATAAGGATTTTTTCTTTCTTTTTCATTTTTTATTTTTTATTTTTATTTTTATTTTTTATTTTGAATAAATAGATCTGGATATCTTCAATGAACTTTGAAACATATGGGAAGCATGAAAGGTTTGTTTTCACGATAAATTATACTCGTGGTCCTATAATCTATATATTATATAAGGAAAAGGCAGTTTTTAACCTTCAAGCTTTGTGAGAGTTATAATATTTTAATCTTAATTTTCAAATTTTTTGAGTTAAGAAAAAAAAAATCTCAGCATTTGTTGACTTTTCCTAACCTATAAGCATTTTTGACTTTTCTCATACCTATTGTTACATTATTTTCAACTTCTCCCATATATTATGATTAATGATGTGATCGTTAAATTATTTTTATAAAAAATCTAAAAAAAATAATTTGTATACTAAAAAAATATCTAAAACAAATATAACTTCTTATTAAATCTATCTATCTATATATTATATAAGTAAAATGGAGTTTCTAACCACAAATCTTGTGAAAGCTCTAATATCTCAAATTAAAATTTCTAATTTTTTGATTTTAAATAATTAAAAAAATCCTCTATAACTCTCATTCAAGCCAAAATAATAATAAAAAATAAATAATAATACCTCTTGATTTATGACTTTCAAATGGAAAGTATATCAAATATATAAAATAAAAAATAGAAAGTATATTAATCCATTTCAAAATTCAAATTTGAGGGACACTAAATATGAAAAACATTCTATTAATTTAAATTTAAAATTATAATGATTTATTCCATAATATATAAGTTTTAAATAATGATGTATTCCATGATTTATCTATATATCTACATATCTATATAATATTATAATTACAAAATATTGTCATTTCATTAAGGTTGAAAACTGTAGTTCTTTTTTCTCATTTTTTTTTATTTTGTTTAATTTTTTGTTAATACGTGTTACAATATGATTGTTCTATAAATTAAAGTTGTAATCCTTTTTTCTCATTTTTTATTTTGTTTAATTTTTTGTTAATATGTGTTACAATATAATTGGTCTATAAATTAATTTTATATTCTTAAAATAA